AACATTCACAGGAAGGTTAAATTATTCCACAGTCCATTGTCTTTGTTGATGAGCCATCAGCACTGTCTGGCTTCTTCATTGTTGTATCTGAAAGGCTGCTTGCGGGTGTTTTCCAGAGTAAGCCCATTTGAAATACTGATCCGTAGTCAATATTCATAACTTCAGATACAAAAATGATACATTCATACAAATACGGTAATCATATTCAGCAAATCATAACGTTTCCAATAACACTTCACATGACTTATCTTATACAAAATGCATTATAATTATGCCATAATCATATCATAATAATATTACTATGACAAATATGGGATGAAGTGTCACAAGGGGTTTAAAGGGAGGCTTGATAAGGCCTTTGAGAGCCAAATTAAGGATCCACTTGGATTCCTTATTATGAGCTCATGAGTTAAATTATTGAAAGTGTCTAAGGGTATGTTTCCACTACAGTTACAAACATGTAGCTTTCCCCTGCCAGCTGACTCAGGCTCACCGGACTCAGGCTAAGAAGCTGTTTGATTGCAATGTAGACATTTGGGCTTTAGGACTCTGAGAAATGGGAGGGTCCCAGAATTGGAGCCCAAGCTGGAACATCTACACCCAGGGGCGGCTCTAGCTTTTTTGCCGCCCCAAGCACGGCAGGAAGGCCGCCTTCGGCAGCTTGCCTGCGGGAGGTCCCCAGTCCTGCAGATTCGGCAGCATGCCTGCGGGAGGTCCACTGGTCCCGCGGCTTTGGCGTATCCGCCGCTGAATTGCCACCGAATCCGCGGGACCAGCAGACCTCCCGCAGGCATGCCGCCAAAGGCGGCCTGACTGCCACCCTCGCAGGGACCGGCAGGGCGCCCCCCTGTGGCTTGCCACCCCAGGCACGCGCTTGGAGCACTGGTGCCTGGAGCCGCCGCTGTCTACACCGCAATGAAACAGTCCCTTAGCCCAAGCCCCACAAGTCCGAGTCAGCTGGCATGGGCCAGCCATAGGTGTCTAATTGCAGTAGAGACCTACCCTAAATCCCATTTTCAAAGGTACTTAGGTGCCTTTAAGCACATAAGTCTGCCATTTAGGTGTCACTGACTCTTTCAAAGCCACTGCTCAGCTGCTGCCTAATCTTGTAGGTGCCTGAGATCCTGCTGATCAACATTCGCAAAGCTGCCTAAGACCTGAAACTGCCTCACTGATCATTAGCTGCTCAGTGGCCTAGCACAAACGGAAGCCCCGAAAGCCCCAGAGTGGGGTTCTCAAACAAGGTGGAGAAATGCCTATCTTGCCAGTGGGGCCTGATTCTGTAAGTGTGCTCTGAGCGTGTTTAAGGCCTGGTAACTGTCAGACCCCTGCAGCAGGAAGGCCAGATGCAGTCCACCCCTATGCAGAGTTCCCACCTCTGTGGTCCAAAATAAAAGGGACACCTGGGATGATTCGAGCCCCTAAAACTGGACAGCTGACAGGGTGTACTGAGAACCCTTACAGAATCCTAGGACAGCTACCTCAAAAAAGGGATGCTCCTAGGAACCTGGACAGATGGCAACCCTACTGATGCGGGGGATAAGGGGACAGCACAGCATCCACACAAAAGACAGCTGGGTGCACAGGAAATGTAGGGCAAGTGTGAAAGAGGTATCAAGTGTGAGCAGAGGACAGAATAGGGGTTTTGGCTGCTAGGGCCTGGGCTACCTGAGCAGCTGACCTGGCTTAGATGCCTAACTCCAAAAGAAGGTTGACAGCTGAGGATCCTGAGCAGATGGAGGTGCCTATGTCTGGCCTATCAACTAGATGCATTAGCTCAACCACTGGGCTGAGTCTAGGGGCAGGCGAGCAGAGCCTCTGCCCCGGTGCTGCTCGGCTTTCTTTTTTTTCTCTTTCTGATCAGATTGGCCAGCTGTTTTTGCTCTGCTATGATTGGCCGGCCTTTTTTCCCCTCTGCCACAGAGGGAGGTGGGGACACAACATTTTGCACTCTATCCAGCAAAATGGCTAGGGCCACTCCTGGTCAGTCACTTGGTTACCTGAGCCCCTCTCCTCTCTCCACTCCTTGTCTTTGCATTTTCTTCCTTGGCAAGCTTCAATGGATCTCCATTCAGTTTACTGGCTTCTGAAAATTCCTGCCTTAGGTGCCTAACTCATCTCATGCATTGTATGGAGAGCCTGGGCACCTGGCTTGGTGCTGAAAATTAAACTAGGCAGCAGGCTGCCTAGGGGTTAGGTGTTTCAACACTGAACAGAGCAACGCCTAAGTACTTCTAAGGATCTAGGTCTAAGTGCCTAAGTCCCTTTTGAAAATGGGGCTTAGGTGCCTAAGTCATTTAGGAGTTTTTTTGCAGATTTTCCCTTAAGTTTCTTTGTCACCGCTCAGAGGAACAGAGGAGTTTGTGTGAGTGAGAGATGCATGAAAACAGATAAAAATATATGTATTTAACCTTTGCAGTTTTACACAAAGCAATCATTCTGTTTACAAATGATATTGTAGATTTGAATGCTGGGTGTATTACATATAAGGCACCTTGTCTTAAATGTATGGATTTTACAAAATCTTATCTGCATCAGCAATCACAGTAGTCTTTCATGGGACACAAAACCAGAGCTCAATAAAAAAAATGATACTCATTGGAGGAGGAAAACAGGTAAAAAGGAAATCATAAAATTTAAAAAACAAGTAGTATTTTCTTGACCCAGCTGTTCTAACTAGTTGGTGACTTGTTGTTTTCCCCTCTCCTTAACTGTCATTGTATCACTGCTTCTGTAAGCAACTCAGTCTGATTAAAAGAAAAGTGGTGAAACTTGCCACATCATTACACTCACTTAGATTGAGTTCTGCTAGCCAGCACTTACTGTTCTTAATAACTGCCACTTAGGATTTGTGAACCCCCTATTGGCACCTTGGCATTTTTTTTTGTCTTACTTTGAAATTTACATGTCTTCAGAACAACTAAAATTCACAAGAACAAACTAATTAATGGATTCCAGTTTTGACAGCTACAAGGAGACAGATGAGAAAGTAACATGCTCCTGGCAGCGTGTTATCAATTGGGAGGCAACAGTGCATTCCCTCTATGTGGTACAGTGAGCTGGAACAGACACTGACAGATGACACAGCTCTTGACAGTGAAGCCTGTACAAGCTGACAGCTCTGCTTGCAGTCAGTCAAGTCCACATTTTGCACTGGAACTGAACCAACTTGATTTGCAGAATATGCTTTCCTTTATCTGCTTTCTGAATGTACAGTAGGTGAGAGGAATAACATTTCCAGGGCATTTACATAGAGCAGTGGATCCCAGGACCTACTGTACTACACTAAAATAAATAAATAAAAGTATAATATGGGTAATAAAGAATGAAATGAATTTTTTAAAAAAAATTAATTGCCTAAGAGACATACTTTGCTTTTTTTTTTAACCTTTTGTTTTTGGGGGGAACAAAAAAAGTTTCTGTCTTCATAATATGCTGTCAGATTTTGTTAATTTATAAGGTAGATCTAGAATCTGAGGGTGAAATTCAGTCCCAGTGCAAGGGCCTGACAAATTCTTGAGCCCTACTTAACCCTGTACACTGAAGGCATAAGTGGAGCAGAGACTTGCATGGGTCTTTCATGCAGGGGTGAATTACATCCTTAGAGCAAACTTTTCCTCTCAGATCTACATGGTGGATTTTCTCTCCAGCACTTTGCTCTTTCCAACTGTACCTATGCAGAACTATACCTATACAGAGTCTGCTTCTAAAGAGAACAAAACAATGAAGTCAATATCCACCTTTTTGATTAGAGAGAATTTTGTCCTAATGAGAAAACGGTGTAGGTCACGAAGGACTGAGAGTTCTATTAAGGGAAAATTCAAGTTTTACAGCTCTGGTGACACAATATTATGACATGCTATGACACCTCCTCCTTTTTTTGCATACAGAAAGTCACCCACACTAAGACATAAAATGATTACCAAGTGAGGTGACATGAAAAATATGAGAATATGAAAAAAAGCTGAAGGATTCTGAATGACCACACAGTTGCACTACACATTTATGTTTGTAGGCCCAGGTTTTAGAATATGATACTTCCAATGCACAGTATAAATGTATACTGCTTGTCTGATATACCGCCTATGTTCACCTACACATAATACCCCACACACCATTAAGGCATGGTTGAATGTTAGAACTGCAGACATAATCAGCACATTCAAGTTGTGATTTTTTTCTTTTATCCCAAATAAAATAGCAACCAGTAGTTTCTGAAATAAGATAAGGTTTATTTACCTTTATCCTTAGAGTAGGCCCTGACCCCTCAAGCACCTAAGCACATGAGCAATTCCATTAACTTCAATGGGACTATTCATGTGGTTAATATTATGCACATGCTTAAGTGTTTTGCTGGATCAGGGTATAAGGCATAATATGTGTTTTATGCTTCTTCACCTTGATTCTTTTGTGCTTAAGCCACCCCTTAGTGCCATTATAAAAAAAGTACTAGATAAATTCATGGAGGATAGGTCCATCAATGGCTATTAACTAGGATGGGCAGGGATGGTGTCCCTAGTCTCTGATTGTCAGAAGCTGGGAATGGGTGACAGGGAATGGATCACTTGATGATTACTTGTTTTGTTCATTCCTACAGGGGCACCTGCCATTGGCCACTGTTAGAAGACAGGATACTGGGCTGGATGGACCTTAGGTCTGACCCAGTGTGGCCGTTCTTACGTTCTATGTTCTTATTATTTAATATGGATTTGCATTCAGTGTACCTGCATACAGTATTGTTATGTAACTTGCTGCATGTTCTAAACACACAATGTATTTTCCATTGTTTAAAGCCTGAAAAGAGAGGAAAGTTCATAGACAATTATACCTGTAGACATATGACACATGTAGACACCAGACACATGAATTCTAAGTTCTCATTTTCAGTCTCTTATTGAACTTCAAATGTTTGATTTTAGACTAGAAGTAAACTAGTTTGGAGGGAGCTAGCTGAACATGGGAAAAAACACTGATTTTGACCATTTGTTTTTCCCTGACAGAAACACAGGATTTACTGTACTGAATCAGATCCTTCAACATCTGTCCTGCACCTGGATGTTAGCTAATGGAGACAACAGATAGAAAAAGCAGGTTATGCATGTATGACTGGGTTGTTCTTTTTCTCTAATACATATTAATGAAAAACCTTAAAAAAATACAAACAGGAGATAGCTGTGAAGTGTAGCAATAACATTCTTAATTTGTAGGTGTTGAGGATGAGATGGGGTCATCTAAAAGATAATGCAATTGATTTATACATTTCCCAAAAATTTCTATGGCTATATATAAACATTCTCAGGGAACTGGAAAGGAGGCTTTATACAAAGGTGTTTTTTTGGCTTTCTTCAGGATAGTATCCTAGAACTGGCTATAGAAATGGTTCTGTATGATAAGTTCCTCATTTTATTCCCACACCTGTGGAATTGAACAGCTAATTGACTATAATTTATAATGAATCTTTCAGGAAGAATCCAAAGAGAAGTTGGAATGTTCAGAGTCCTACTCAAAAAATTGACAATATAGTCATGTAGTGATTTTTTTAAGGAGTTTGTTTCTATTTTGACCATGAGAGTCACATATCTACACACACAAAATAGAGCAAGATCACTAAGCAAGCAATTTGTGAACTCTGCCTGTGTTGGTAAGGAGCTGAATCCAAATTCAAACTAGAGCCAAATGAAATATTTATGAGTATGGGTAGACAGATATTTACACAGAGAGACATGGATGTGGACAAATTCAGATATCTGGGAGTTTTTTCTACGGTATGATCAGAATCTTCCTGGATTTCTCACTTTAGATATATTTTAAATGGTTTATATTTATATTCATGGTTTTATATTTATGTTCTTGCTGGTTTAGATAGATTTTAAAATATCATCTTGAAGTTTCACATAGCCTGATAAAGTCAGATGGCAAACTCTTCCCAATAAAATGACATGTTGTATAACATTGTAAAGGGCTATAGAGCTTAGTCTCTTAACTTCTTTAACTTCATAATTGTGTGCACAGTGTTGTTTTCTTTGATTCTTAGGAGCAGGTTCTCTTAAAGACACCACCACCATTTCTGAACCCTAAAATATATTCAATTGTTATTTAGAACCTAGTTACCAAGAGAATCTCAGTGAGATGAAGATACCTCAGACCAAATCCTCTACTAGTGTTTTAAATGGGTGCAGCTCTAGTGACTTCAGTGGAGCTGTGCCAATTTATACAAGCAGAGAATTTGGCCTCTTTTCTCTTTGTGCATTCAGATTACAGAGATGTTCCGAATTTATACGTCAAATTTTAGCATGCAGGGGAGAAAAGGAGAGTGAAAATAGTGAAAGAAAAGACAGCACTTACCCCCTTTGACTTTGTACCCTCCTTTTTTTAAAATAATGTTTTATTGATTTTTCCCCAGTAATAAACAAAGAAGCCAAGCACATTATAGAACATGTCCAGTATACAAGAAAAACAAATATGGATATATGTAGTGAGGAGGCATGGCCACCCTCAGAGGCTGACGCAGAGGGAACACCGCAAGCCTCCTGGTGAGCAGAACCGGAAGCAGAGGGGCAGGACAGGAAGGAGAAGTATAAAAGGCCGGCCCAGCAGCTCAGTTGGAGGAGAGCAGCTGAGGGAGACATATGCTTCTTCCCCACTGTTGGAGCAGGATGCTGAGGAGAACTATGGCTGCCCAGAGGATCTGCCTCAGCTTCCAAAGGGCCCTGCCACTCCCGACGCTGAGGAGCTGCTACCATTACCCTTGGCAGTGTATCCCAGAGAGACTGAGGATGACCCCTGGATGCAGGTAAACCTGAGGGGGAGACTAGAAAGGAGCCCTGGGGAACCAGACTACTCTCTGGCTGTGGTGCCACTGGAAACATGGTCAGCATGTTGCAGAGTAATACATTTATACAAATAGGATGACCATACTCAGTAGATTATAAGCTTTTTAATGATACCTTACAAGAGATCTTTTGCATGAAGCATATTCCAGTTACATTATATTCACAGTCATTAGCATATTTTCATAAAATCATATAGGGTGCAAGGTTACAGTCATGACCAGAACTATTCCCACACTAGAGACAAGGGCAGCTCCTGTGGCCACTGATGCCATATCCTTACCCTCAGTGGCCTTCTTGAATCCCTGGGAAGTCCCTCATTTGGCTAAATCCTGGTCGTCTGCTTGCCTGCCTCTCCCATAGTCTCCCCATGAGAACCAGCAGTCCTTCGGCCACAGGCAGAGGATGCTCTCTCTGTGTTAGAGTATCCTGAACCCTTGGGACTGTTGGAAGTGATACCACAGGAAATCCCTTTGGTTCCACCTCCAACATTCTCCTCCTCCCCAGACAATGCTGCAGTGCCAGATTCCTCCTATCCAGTACCAGAAGATTTCAAATCATATAGGACATTCTAAGATAGATGGCCTCAGCCTTGGGGATCCAGGACAAGTTTGTTCAGGAGAACATTCATAAGTTCGTGGATATCCTGCAACTGTCAGCTCCTGGGAAAGTTGCTCTCCCTGGAAACAAGATGATATTAGAGACTGCCTCATTAATGCCTATGACAAAATACATGGACAAAAGACACCATGTGCCTATGTAGAGTTTCAAATGCTTTTTCTCTCATCCACCCCAGAATTTCCTGGTTGTCATGACAGCAAATGAGAAAGTGAGGCAGGGCAGATATAAATCTACACCTAAGGACAAAGAGTTGAAAAGGCTAGATCAGATGGTGAGGAAAGCTGACTCCAACTCTCCCTTGCAGATGCACATTGCTAATGAGCAAGCACTAAATATGGCTTTGTGAACTGGGATGCTATGTCCAAATTTGTTGATAAGTTACCAGAATCCTCCAGGGAGGAGTTCAAGGTTTTTGTGGCAGAAGGCTGCAAGAGGCCAAGATGTTGTTACAGTCAGCTCTGGATATAGTGGTTGTTTCATCCAGGCTCATGGCCTCAGCCATTATGATGAGAAGGATCTCATGGTTGCAAAACTCTGGCATAGCTCCTGAGATCCAGCAGAGCATAGAGGACTTGCCATTTGAGGTTGCCTTTTGTTCTCTGAGAAAACTGACAAGAAAACTGACATTGCATTCCTCTATTGATTCCCTGAGCCACCCTGTGCTCCTTGGGGATTTATATCCAGGCCACAAGGAGAAAAAAAAGTCTCATTCAATTACATCATGTAATGGGAGACAGCTAAAAAGTGACAAGTTTTTAAAGTGCTTATAAACCAATGCTAGAAGTCTAAATAATAAAATGGGTGAACTAGAGTGCCTCATATTAAATGAGGGTATTGATATAATAGGCATCACAGAAACTTGGTGGAATGAGGATAATCAATGGGACACAGTAATACCAGAATACAAAATATATCGAAAGGACAGATCAGGTCATGCTGGTGGGGGAGTGGCATTATATGTGAAAGAAAGTGTAGAATCAAATGAAGTAAAAATCTTAAATGAAACAAACTGTTCCATAGAATCTCTATGGATAGTAATTCCATGCTCGAATAATAAGACTATAGCAAGAGGGATATATTATCCACCACCTGACCAGGATGGTGATAGTGACTGTGAAATGCTCATGGAGATTAGAAAGGCTATTAAAATAAAAAACTCAATAATAATGTGGGATTTCAACTATCCTCATATTGACTGGGTACATATCACCTCAGGATGGGATGCAGAGATAAAGTTTCTTGACACCTTAAATGACTGCTTCTTGGAGCAGCTAGTCCTGGAACCCACAAGAGGAGAGGCAATTCTTGATTTAGTCCTAAGTGGAGCACAGGATCTGGTCCAAGAGGTGAATATAGCTGGACTGTTTGGTAAGAGTGATTATAATATAATTCAGTTTAACATCCCTGTAGTGGGGAAAACATCATGGTGGCCCAACACTGTAGCATTTAATTTTGGAAAGGGGAACTACACAAAAATGAGGAGGTTAGTGAAAGAGAAATTAAAAGGTACAGCACCAAAAGCAAGCTGCATGGAAACTTTTTAAAGACACCATAATAGAGGCTCAACTTAAATGTATACCCCAAATTAAAAAACATAGTAAGAGAACCAAAAAAGAGCCACCATAGCTAAACAAAAAAGTAAAAGAAGCAGTGAGAGGCAAAAAGGCATCCTTTAAAAAGTGGAAGTTAAATCCTAGTGAGGAAAATAGAAAGGATCATAAACTCTGGGAAATGAAGTGAACAAATAGAATTAGGAAGAATTAGGCCAAAATTAGAATTTGAAGAACAGCTAGCCAAAGACTCAAAAAGTAATAACACATTTTTTTTAAAATACATTAGAAGCAGAAAGCCTGCTAAACAACCAGTGGGGCCACTGGACGATCGAGATGCTAAAGGAGCAGTCAAGGATGATACGGCCATTGCAGAGAAACTAAATGAATTCTTTGCATCGGTCTTCATGGTTGAGGACGTGAGGGAGATTCCCAAACCTGAGCCATTCTTTTTAGGTGACAAATCTGAGGAACTGTCCCAGATTGAGGTATCATTGAAGGAGGTTTTGGAATAAATTGATAAACTAAACAGTTATAAGTCACCAGGATCAGATGGTATTCACCCAAGAGTTCTGAATGAACTCAAATGTGAAATTGCAGAACTACTAACTGTAGTCTGTAACCTATAATTTAAATCAGCTCCTGTACCAAATGTCTGGAGGATAGCTAATGTGACGCCAATTTTTAAAAAGGGCTCCAGAGGTGACCCTGGCAATCACAGGCCGATAAGGGTAAGGTCATGAGTTCCCCTACATGTACTACTAGGCAAAATTCTCTGGCTTTGGTGTGCTGGGTGTGCACACACCTGAGTGGCATGCTGTCTGCACCCATATCTTGAAGAAAAATAGTTATGATATAGGCAAGTCATATTCTTTTACATTTTCCCCACTTTTTAGCCCCACTGGATTATGCTGCATTATAACAATGAAGTTACAGGTAAATCTGGGGTCTGTGATCTCAACGCCTGGCTCCTATTGTGGAGCCCAGTCATCTAAGCAGACAGTGGTGTAGTTCCGTGTTTCCCAACCAGTATGCCGTGCCACACTGGTGTGCTGTCAGGCCCAAACAGGTGTGCCATGGAATTTTTTGAAAAACCACGTGCAGGGTGGGGAGGGGGTATGAAGGAGGAAAGCTGCCTTCTGATAGGCCATCTGCCTCACTGCCCCATCTCTTCCAGGAGCAGAGCAAGCAATTGGAGCTCAATCTCTCTCTCCTTCCCACTCTACTCCTGTGAGCAATGGGTGAGCTCCTCTGCCCCTCTCTATCCCTCCTGCAGCCACCAGCTGGGGGCAGGGGAAGCATCTGGAAGGGGAGTGGAGACTCTGCTGCAGCCCCCCAGGGTTGGGAGGAGCAAAGAACCTCAGGAAAAGCAGAGGTGAGGGGGGGGGCTGAGTGTGAAGTGGGGGAACTGGAGGGACAGAACTGGTGGGGCATGGGGGGAAGAACTGGTGTGAGGTGGGGGCTGGACTGGTGGAAGTTGAGGACAGAACTGATGGAGGCTGGGGCAGGAGTGCCATTTAGTGAGGGTAGAGGCTAGGTGGGGGGGGGCAGATTTCTGCCTTCCATTTGGCCCTGCTCCATGCCGTGTGGGGACTTGGGCTGGCCAGAGCTTCCTAGGGGCACGCAGAGAACGTGCCTGGGGGATCAAGCGGTGACATCAGGTACTCTGTGCGTCTAGGTCACTTTCCCCATGTTGGCTTGGTAACAACCGCCACACGCTCCAGTCTCAGGTATGTAGTCCTTGGTTCCCGCAAAGCACTGGGTGCTGGTGGCCACAGTGACCGTGTAGGACAGCATGGCGCGGTCTGGCCCAGCGCCCACACAGTCACAAGTAGTGGATCTGCCCCCACTATGCCAACTAGGGAGCGTGCACACAGCCAGGCCCTGTAGCAGCAGCACCCCACACAGCTACTGCCTGCACCCTGAGCTACACCACTCCCAGCACACAGCCCCTAGCTACCCCCTCCCTGAACTACCCCTGTCTTCATAATTTTAGCCTGTGAATGTGAAGCTTCAAAACATGAATATCAACTAGGCCATTGACAATTTTGCCAACACGAAACCATGGTGTCATCCATTGTTTTAGCTTATATCTGGAGTGTTTTGTTTGTTTTCATTAATTTATTTACCTTTAAACATTCCTGGAATAAATTAACTGTCCCTTATCTTGACAATTTGGAACATAAGACATTTAAAAAACAACAATTACAGAGGTAAGCAGATTTTATTTTTATTTATCTCTATAAAGTATCAAACTTGTGTTTCTGATATCTGCGTTAAGGCTCCAAAACTGATACCTCAAGGCTTGGGATTGGGAATATCTTGCTGTATTATCTCCTGATTGTTCTAAATGTACATATAAGTTTAAAATATGGCTTTAATTGGCGTTTATATATTTTTTCTTTCTTAGGATAGGAATTCGATACAGTGCTCCTGTCAGCTAATTTCTAAGTTAATATCAGCAAAAAACTTGAGTTTTCAGGTACTTAAGTAGCCCCTGGAATCACGGTTAAAGTTGCCCCTCCCCCTCCTTACCAAAATCTGAAATGGTGCCCCTGGCCAGGGTGCAGGGGCAGAAGAATTGATTTGGAGACTGGAGGAACAGGATTGATTTGGAGGTTGGGGGCCAGAATTCATTGCTGGGCAGGGGATTGACAGATTTGAGGGTGAGCACTCCTGCAGCAGGGGCCAAAATCCTCATATCCAATACATTTGGCAGCATGGGCAGCACTAACACTGTCTCTCTCTGGGGTTGGGCAGGGGCAGTTCACCAATCATAGACAAACT